GCTATTGGTCTAGGGGGTGCTTCGACAGCGATTGGTGCAGGGGGTGTTTCCACAGATATTGGTCCAACTGCTGTAGCTACGTGCACAGGAGGCGCTTTCGCAGCTATTGGCCCAGGAGGCGTTGCAGCAGCTGTTGGTCCAGGAGCGCTGTTATTGCTACGGGTCCAGGGAGCATTCTTGGAACTGTTAGTCGATGCATGTCATGGAAAGTGATCATCCTGGCAAAGAAATGCATTTGTTCGACATTTTCCGTCTCTGCGTTGTTATATTTACCTATAATGTCAGGGTTGTACATGTGAAACAATACGTAACCTATCACACGTATAGTGTAAGATTCATGTACATGTGATGCCACACGTAATATAAGTTCACACGCATGGCTTGTCATATGAGTAGGTTGGTCATCATCTGTGCTCGTTGCCTCTCACTGCAGGTGAGCCTGGTTCTGAACAAGAAGATGATGTACATGTACAATATGAACAACCCTGACAGCCCCGTTCAGCTGAGCTTCCAGTCTCGATACGGTCTCATCGTCTCTTACAAGTGGTGAGTGTGCTTACGCTGTTTACAACACTACAAACATTTGTGGGGGTATTTCCTTTGTGAGGGTTATAAAATACTCCAGTGGATTTTCTGATAGTAGTATCTATACCATGTATTATAATCGTACCTGGCCTGATAAAGAAGAGATAGTAGGTGTACACTATAATTCAGACTTATTGTAAAAGAGACAATGTATTACTGGTAGATGCAACGCAGATCCAGTAATAATTCCAACAACACTAGCTTGACGATATCTCATCTTTGCAGTACTATTTCACACTTTAACAGGGATATCCTCAGCAGTTGCATTAGAAACCATGTGTTATAAACAACGGATAATTTGCTTCTTTACTATAATGTAATGTATACATCTTACTGCATTTTGTTGGTGACTTTATCTAGTGTAGTTCGTACTTATAATCTTCCCAAATTTTTGAATATGATCCAAAATATGCTTTGAATATGTTCTTATTAGTGTTCAAATCCTGTATGTGTCTACATATTTGATCAGCTATATGTGTAAATGTATATACTTGTGTCAAATCTGGAAAAAAACAACAACAAAAAAACAAAAAAAAAAAACAAACAACGGAAACTGGGAAGAGAATGTCGTGCAACAAATCAAACCTCTACCTCTCCAGCATTAAATGTCACGTCTGCTTGGTTTCCACTGAAACCTAACTAAAGATGGCGCCACAATTACCTCGTCGCAGCATTTCAATCATGCCAACGAGGAGAATATAATAACCAAAGCAGATAATGAACAACAAATCGCACAGCAGGGTAATTACGAAAAACACGCCCGGGGGATAATTTGCTCGGTGGATAATTCGCCCGGGGGATAATTTGCCCGGTGGATAATTTGCCCGGTGGATAATTTGCCCGGGGGATAATTTCGATTCGGATTTTCGTCGTCTTTCGTCTACAGGTTCGGAGATGGATACATCATGATAGGTTTCTCCTCGGGTTTCTTCGTCGTCATCTCGACGCACATGAAGGAGATCGGGCAGGAGCTGTTCCAGGCGCGCAACCACCGCGACAACCTCACGGACATCGCCATGTGCCAGTCGCTAAACAAGTGTGCATCCTGCGGCGACAACAGGTAGCGTTTGATGTTCCTGTGTTAGAACGGGTACCGTTGCTGTAATGTGTGTCCGATGTGCCCTATTTGGTCGTGAGATTTTAGTCCATTTTTCCTTAGCAATACTCACTAGTGTTGATAAACGAGAGTAAAGCTCGATCAAACATGTATCGTCGCGTGAATAAACTGCGTCACCTTGCCATGACAATGTCAGACGCGTGTCATGTGTCATGTGTCATGTGTCATGTGTCATGTGTCATGTGTCATGTCATGTGTCATGTGTCATGTGTCATGTGATACCAACGCATGATCGCCACAAGTCAGCGGCCGCATCGACACTAGCGTCATTTTCTCTCTCTCAACTCTCTACATCGTCATAATCCTCTTATTTGTCTACATTTTCTATTTGTCGTTATCATTTTCACATTCTCGGTATTTTTCTCTCTTTCCCTTCTGCGTGTTGCCGCCGTCGCCGCCGTCGTCGTCACCACCGGCGCCCTCTAGTGTGAAGATCCACGACCTGTCGGAGCTGAAGGAGATGTACGCGATCCTGACGCTGGACGACGAGAGGGCGCCACTGGACCGCATGCGCTGGACGCTCGACGGGCAGCTGCTGGCGGTGTCGTCGACGCGCGGCACCCTGCACGTGTTCCTCACCCGCCTGCCGACGCTCAACGCAGCGCACGGGACTCGCGTGGCCTACCTCACCTCTCTGCTGGAGGTCACGGTGGTTGGAGGAGGGGGAGGAGGAGGAGGAGGAGGAGGAGGAGGAGGAGGAGGGGTGGATGGGGTGAGTAGCATGCGTGCGGCGTGTGCGCGCCACATGGTGCGTTTACTGGTAGTCACTAGCTTCTCTCACTATTCTACTGAGTGATTCCATTGTAACATAGGGCGTAGGTAGTAAGTAGTACATGGTGCAGGTGCGTTTATTGTGAGTAGTAGCAGCACATGGTACGGGCAAATCTCTACTAGAGTTCAGCAGTACTAGTAGCAGCTATTAGCTCTCTTACTGTTCTACTGGGTAATTCCACGGTAATGGAAATAAAACTCAGAAGACATTTTCTTTATTTTAGATCTTTCTAATTCATAATCAAAAGCCACGAAAATGCTCACGTAAGAACACTCCAAACTTAAGAAAAAATTTCAAGGATGTGTTTACCGATCTCATGTGCATGCCTCACGCAAGCTAGTTGGTCATATATCGGGGAGGGAGTGTTATGATTGAAAGGAGTACTTGCGAAACCCCTGCACCACAGTGATTGTCGTGATGCGTGTGTTCGTTCTGGGGCAGGAGGAGCCTAAGACAGTGATCAACATTGATGTTGAGCCTACGTTCATCGGTCTGGGGCCGTACCATCTAGCCGTCGGCATGAACAACCGCATCTGGTTCTACTACCTCTCCGATTCAGGTAACGCATCACCTCGGCGGACGCGGGGTGCGAGGTGGCGGCAATCGTCCGACGACTGGCGCCCGATCTATCGCGCTGCGTTGCTGCATATATAGTTTAATTTTTGGCTAATTTTTAGTCGTAACATTAACATTCCAATAGACTGTTGACAGAAACGGGGTAAAGTTACGCTCATAGGGTCTATGTCCCCCAGGGTACTGTCGGAACGTACCCTGGGTACGGTCCGGTATACCAGAACGTACCCTGGTAACTATCTGATATGGTTAGGGTTAGGGTTAGGGTTAGGGAGTAGGCATAGGCGACTCCCTAGACTCGTTAGTGGAGTAGGCGAGGTACTGTCCGTCATATTAGAATCCAGGGTACGTTCCGGTATACCGGACCGTACCCAGGCTACGTTCCGGCAGTACCCAGGCTACGTTCCGGCAGTACCCAGGGTACGTTCCGGCAGTACCCAGGGGGACATAGACCCTCTCAGCTAAAGTGACGAGTTTCTCGCACGAAGTGTATAGAGCTTCGGTCTACGAGGAAAAAGGTCATGTTAAGATTAATGTTAAGACCGATTTTGTTTCTCACATCGGGGATCCAGGTCCGGAACATCTCCGCGATCGGGAGTACCTGGGAACGGTGCAGAGCGTCAAGATCAACTCGGAACACGCTTCCGTGCTGTTCGAGAACAAGATCCAGCTACACGTGGTAAGTGAACCTAGGTGGTACAGGTAACATCTACAGTAAAACCTGTGTTAGCTTGCACCTCTGTAGAACTGTCCATGAAGAAAACTCTTAGCATTTCTCTATGAGTGGCAGGTATACACTGAAACCACATGTATAGAACAAACACCTGTCTATAAAGGACACCTCTATAGAACAGACACCTGTCTATAAAGGACACTTGCCATTTTCCTTGTTTGATGTTCTATGTTACGGGATTGAATGGTACTTGGGCTTGACATCTAGCGAGCCACATCTAAGGCATGTAGTTACGCGCGAGATTGCTTCGTTGGATTATGTGACACTGGTGATCTCCTGCTCACAGATCGAGTCGGACGCCGGAATGCCGGAGGGACGAGAGACGCGGCTGTTTCCGGACGACGACCACGGCGACGAGAAGATCGCTTGCCACGCGATCACGCACGAGTTTCTCGTATACGGCACAGATGTGAGTCTGCAGCTAGAGCTAAGTCAAGAGCTAGTAAGCTAATAGTACATATTATATAATGATATTCCATCACTAGTTTAATGGTGTAATTAGAACATGGCTTGTCTGTTATTCTACATGTGTCGTTCATCGTGTTGACAACAGTTTTCGACTCTTTTCTCGATAGAGCGGCGCCATATATTTCTTCTACATCGAGGACTGGGCGTTCGTTAACACCTACAAGCACGTCATCGCTGCAAGAAAGCTGTTTCCCGATGCGAGCGGCGCCCGTCTAGCTTTCATCGACGACAAGACCGACGTTTACATATTGAACCCCGTAGGTTTCGTCGATGCATGCGTACACCTTGTGTAGTATAAATCAACAACTCGGTTATGATTTAGGCTGGGTAGATTCTGATTTTATGAGATTAGTCATGGATGAGTAAAAGCTGATTGACAAGCTCTATTGCGGTTAGTTAGTATCTCACTGACAGAGCGAATGCTGGTTGATTAAGTGGGTTGTGGGTCAGAGCTTTGTGGCTTACAATCATTGTGCAACGTGGGTTTGATAAAGAATGCAATAATGACCATGCTAGAACTCACAGGTTTCATATTGGTGTCTGTAATTTCTCCTGTGGGAAAGGAGTCGTTGTGCCTTACGAGTAGATACTTTTGACAGGTTAACGAACAACTGGCAGAAGTGCCTCAGGTGCCATCGACCACAAAGGGTCTACTCTGGGAGCAGGCACCAGGTGATATGGTAGGTCTGGATGCATCTGTCTACACCCACCGAGGAAAACATAGAAAGTTGTTTGACAACTCTCACTAACTCGACAAGTTAATATTGTGCACTCTGCTAATGTGTAGATATTCTAAGAGCTAAGTTTACAATTTTAAATATCTATTTGTAATGGAAACAATGGAAATTTCTCTAAATTGAACGTGCATATTTTGAAGCGTAAGAAATAAGATATTCCATACGGTTGCTTGATGTATAGTAATGACTTAACAATAGCGTTGTACTCTTGCAGGGAACGTTTGTGATGTATGACGATGAAAAGGTCTATACGTATGTTCACAGTAGAGAAACCATTGAAGGTATGTAACTCTTTTGTAGCACTACTGAATAAATCAGTATGTGTCATATCATCATGGTCATCTGTAAATTATAACACATTCTAGTCTACATCATCACAAGTATATCCTATAACCTCTTCTGTTTTGTTGGTCACCGCTTATCTATGCCTTTTAGCGACATGATTTCATTGACAACTTCTTTCATAATAGCAATCGCCTCAAAAGGCGATTTATTCTATATTTCATTTGTAAAAAATGTGAAATCGCGTCTTTTCAGGATCAAAAGTTGATTTCGTCGGATCGATGAAGATTCCGCACGGACAGGTGCCACTTGTTCTCCAGCAGGGGGAGCTGACGCTGCAGACGCAGAACGGAAAACTAAGCACAGTGCACGTGGAAGCGTTCCCAAAGACAGATAATCCACAGAACCTAACAGCCAATGAGCTGAAGGTAATGCCTTTAATTAATTAAATTAAATTTCGTTACTCGGCTGTTTCTACCTATTATCTATATATAAACGGGCAGTCCATCCTCATTCCTGCTCATCAGTGTATCGTCACTTAGAGTAACTTGATCGTCGGTCTGCGTACCAGGCAAAGACTGATCTCAGGCTGCCACCTGTTATGCGCTTGACTGTACCTGTTAAACAAAACATTAAGTATTAACTGTAAACAGTAAGCCTTATCAGTTCAATAGCATCACAGCATTGCTTACTATCTGTTAGGCAGCAGCACTTTCCTTGTACGTGATACCAACACGATTAATAAATGCGGGCTGACACGGAGTACGATTAACGATGATATTAGATTGATATCAATATGATTAATCATGATTTGGTGACCATGATATCAATATCGATAAATACGTGTTGACATGGAGTATGATTAATGCACGACGATTGCTCGCTGTGTCTAAGTGTGATGCTGGCATTGTTATGTATTGCAGGAGAACATTAGCAAGTGCATTGCATTGAAGAAGTTCAAGGAAGCGTGGCCCTACGCGATGTATGTTAACATGAAGGATGTCTGGTTAGAGCTAGGACGGGCGGCCATGCGAAACCTAGAGGTGAAATTCGGTAAGTGTGACCGTACACAACAAAGACCTAGGAAAGCATAGATTAGGAGTAAACCTATTATGATCATTACCGCACGTTGAGAAAGGCCTGAAAAGCCTATAGGAAAGCATACATTAGGAGTATAACTATTATAACTATTGTGGCACGTAGAGATTGCCTGATTGCACAGCGTGAAAATTACTCGAATCAATTTGTTCTTGGCCATTTTGTGTGGGCAGGGGTTGGGGGAATTGTCAGTTGTACTCAGATGTGCAGGCATAAGATTATTGACATGTAGTCAGCGCTGCAATGTTAATACAATTGTTGCTGCACTAATGGTCCATTGTTGTTGTTACCATTGTTGTTGTTGTTGTCGTCACCATTGTTGTTGTTGCCACGGCAGCGATGCGGGTGTACAGACAGCTAGGAGCTGTGAGCATGGTGTGGTCGCTGTACAGTCACACGTTGTTGTTGTTGTTGTTGCCACGGCAGCGATGCGGGTGTACAGACAGCTAGCAGACGTGAGCATGGTGTGGTCGCTGGAGGCGGTGCAGGGCGTCGAGGACCGCAACCTGCTCGCCGGACACCTCGCCTCACACCTCGATCACTTCGAGCTCGCGCAGGAACTCTTCCTCGCGTCGTCGGAGCCGGGTGCGGCGCTGGAGATGCGGAGAGACCTGCTGCACTGGGATCGCGCGCTGCAGCTGGCGGCCCGCCTCGCGCCCGAAGAGATCACGTTCATCTCCCGCGAGTACGCCCAGCAGCTCGAGTTCGTGTGAGTAGTCAGCACCATCTGGCGACGCGTCTCGATCGCACTACTACATCGGTAACATCAGTTACTATAGAAAGCGACTATTAAACAGAACAAAAGAAAGGAAAAATATACAGAACGAAACAAAGCAAAACAAAATATTACAAAACAAAAACAAAACAAAACGAAGCAAAGCAAAAATCAAAGCGAAATATTGCAAAACAAAACAAAACAAAACAAAGCAAAACAAAGAAAAACAAAACAAAACAAAACAAAATAAAACAAAACAAAAACAAAACGATTCAACAAAACATTCCCTCGGTAGAGCGTACGTACGTACACAGCACGCATTTAGAATTCCACCCCGCATTAACCCGACGCTAATACCTGACCCGCAGGGGAGACTACGGCAATGCGCTCACCCACTACGAGAAGGGCCTGACCGACGACGACGACAAAAATGGAGACCACAACGAGACATGCAAGGCTGGCATCGCCCGCATGGCCATACGCATGGGCGACATCAACCGCGGCGTCGCCATGGCGATGGACATGAACGGGAAGGCGCTGAAGAAGGAATGTGCGGCCATCTTGGAAAACATAAAGGTATGCGAGCGTCGGTCTCGTCCTACATTACGAATATGCTGTTTCTCAAGTGAAACTGATATGTAAGCAAATTGTGTAATACATATTTACATATTGTATAATAAATGAGCATTTTTATATTGCAAATTGTATAATACACATCATATTATAATGCATTTTATATTTAATACAAATTGTGATTATTTATTCCTGGCGAGATGCAGTTATCGTTGATGTCAAATACATCATAGGCAGATACGCCATAGACTGTCGCATTGCTTTTTCTTAACTTGGTAGCAATTCGGAGAGGCAGCCCAGCTGTACGAGAAGGGAGAGTTCTACGACAAGGCGGCGTCAGTCTACATCCGCAACAAGAACTGGTGAGTGCACGAATATCCACGACTTTGTGAAAGTATCTTTACGCTATAGAAACATGTTTAGGTTGCGAAGACGCGGCTGTTCGAAAAACTCGTGACCTGCTACCATGAACACGTTTGTAGAACGTGTGTAGAGAATACATGTATCTAATGTACGTATAGATTGAACAGCACACAAACTATCCTAACAAAGCAACTATCAAATAAACAAAAACGGAAATATATTTAGTATTGTTCGCACAGTGACATATATCTTTGTACTTACTTCTTAATCGTACTCTTTAATCATGCTTAACTTCTTCGTAGTAGTGTTGTGCTCACAGTCAGCCTGTAAAAGAGAGTTGTGAGAAAGCAGGTAAGCACTGCTGAAGGGGTCGTTGTCGTATCAGGTACCACATATACGTACCCGAGGTACACATATGTATAGACAGAGTGTACCAGACTTGTACTACAGAAGTGTACCCTAACCCTAACCCTAACCCTAACCCTAAACATACCTCATATAAAAATATAAACAACCTAAAACTACCTCGGGTACATATATGTAGTACCTGATACGACAACGACCCTTCGTGCGGCAGCACTAGCTGCCAAAAATGCAAGGATAAGAAATCGCTGCTCTTATATTATTACCGTTGAGTTTTGAGAGTGAAACGATTTTCGTAACAGGAGCAAAGTTGGGGATCTGCTGCCAAAGGTCAACTCACCAAAGGTACATGCACAGTATGCGAAAGCCAAGGAGAGCGAGGGGAAATATAAGGATGCTGCCAAGGCATACGAGAGTGCAAAGGACTGGGACAATGTTGTTAGGTATACAAAAACAGTTGCCTTATGCCAAGAATTCTAAAAAAAAAAAATTGGACCAATAAAAACCAGTATAGTGACAGCAAGCCACAACTTCCCTGGCTGCAATTAAACTGGATATGATTCCGTATTTTTGCCCGATTGTAAACATTTTTGCTGTGTAGCGATTTCTTGCATTCATTTACACTTGCTGTCTACAGAAGTATATAACACCTGAGTTATAATATTTAAATAACCAATGATTGAAATTACCACATAACAGGAAGGAATGTATAGCTGTACGATGACAATCATGCCATGAAATCCACATATTTCTTCGTTTCAGACTGTACTTGGACCATCTGAACAACCCAGAAGAGGCGGTTAGAATCGTGCAGGACACACAGTCTGTAGAGGGTGCAAAGATGGTTGCCAGGTATTCTATTCACATGATTAGACAGGGAGCTAAAACGTCCCTGCATCCTAACCTAATGTGTAATGGATCCACACGAACTACTGTAATACATGTACAAAACAGCGATTACAGCACTGTTCGGTTTGTATGTTTTAAGTAGACCAAATTTGTGCAGTTTTCCCATGTTATGCAGATTACAATATATATTTTCTACACTATATGCTTTAATCCAGTAATTGACATTAATCAGAGTGACACCAATGCTGATACTGTAGTTCATAGGGTCTATGTCCTCCAGGGTACTGCCGGAACGTACCCTGGGTACGGTCCGGTATACCGGAACGTACCCTGGTAACTATCTGATATGGTTAGGGTTAGTACTCCACTAACGAGTCTAGGGAGTCGCCTATGCCTACTCCCTAACCCTAACCGGGCGAGGTACGGTCTGGCATATTAGATAGTACCAGGGTATGTTCCGGCAGTACCCCGGGGGACATAGACCCTCTCAGCATTAGTACTTGGTATTGCTCATAGGGTGACGGTCTATGTTCCCCGGGGTACTGCCGGAACTAGCTCTAGTACTATAGCCTGCTTACATTAACTGCCGCTGCCAGCGGCAGTTAATGTAAGCGGGTTATAGTACTAGAGCTATGCCAGAACGTACCCTGGGTACGGTCCGGTATACCGGAACGTACCCTGGTCACTATTT